TGATGGTGTTGCAAACAACCACATAAAGAAAAGATGGAATCTTTGTGATCTTTCTCTCTCACCATGTCTTTCTCTTTGATCCAAACTTGTAAGAAGCGAAAACGAAACCCAAAAGAAAACATTTTTGACCTCTAGCAATGGCTGAAAACCGTGGCAAAAAATCAAAAAATCGTTCTTTTTTCAAAGACAACGATTTTTTAACTGTAGTCTAAGTCATTGCCTTTAGTTTAGGTCACAGTTTTTTTTTTTTACTTTTGACAACACATTTTTAAAATTGTTATCCAATATTTGAATAGGCAACGATTTTTGTTCATGGGCAACGGTATACCGTTGCCACTGTGTATAAATGCAATAGTTTGAAACTGTGGTCGTTTGTATGTATAGGCAACACCATATAAAATGTGGTCATTGTCTACATAGACAAGAAAACCGTTGTCTTTGGTATTGTATCCATTTTGAAAATAGATAATTGTTGCCTTTGTTACACTATATATACAATCCATAACTACTCTGCATTTTTTGTAAATAAATTTGTTCATTTAAAATTTTAATAAAATCATTATTTTCGATAATACTCTGAGAACAATAAATAATAATAAATATGAATAAAAGTTTTTAATGAATATTAATTACTTTGAAACATGAGTATTTGTTATTCCAAATTTGGTGAACCAAAATACATACTTATATTCTTGAAGATGACAAGCAACACTACAAGACCACTCTACTACTGTTTAACAAAATATAATTAGAATCAAAAATAGGAAATCTTGATTCATTCTCACCTTTACTGTATGCGGCAAGTTGTCTTCTAAATAATTTTACTGCAAATATAGAAATTATAATAATGTTAGTTTATCTCACCACTATAATGGTTGTATGCGAACAAAACTGTCTTTTGATTCAGCAATAAATGAAACATTTTGTATTTTCATACTTAATCCTTCCCCTGTGTAGTTCAGTTCTGTAACCATGTCATTTCCCATACACTATAGGCTCTTTGGGTATGATGGAGTTAAATATAAGTAAAAACAGTAAAGGTTTCACAAAAAACGTATGCATGAATGAATATTGCACAAAAAAAGCTTCCTATGTTGGATTTGTTGATTTATAGCTTGAATATGCATTAGTTAGTGGTGTTTGGTTGCTAGTCTAACTATCCTTGTTGAGCATAGATTAGCTTAAGCTTATTCTTGATTATGTGTTAGTGAATAAGCTGTTAGGGAAGTTATTTAACAAACTACTATAAATAGTAGGTTTCGGTTTTTTGTTTCATTCATTCAATCAATGAGAATGCATTCAAACACTTTCTCTCTTTCATTTTCTTTGGATTCTAAGATGGTGTCAGAGCAATTTTTGCTCTGATTCGTCATCTCCTCTTCTCACTATCGCGATTGCAGTTTATGTTCTTCTCACTACTGCGTTTTCAGATTCTCCTCTTCTCACTTCCGCAAATTCGTCTTCTCACTTCCGCAACTTCGTCTTCTCACTATTGCTTCGTCTTCTCACTTCCACAAATTTGTCTTCTCACTATTGCGATTTCATATTCTCATTGTGACTGCTACTGTTTCTGCAAGTGTTGAATCAATTTCTCAATCTCTTCTTCTACTACCTTTAAAAATGGCGAATCAGAGCTTCGAGGATTACAATGTGAATCCTTCCAATCCTTATTTTCTGCATTCGAACAGGAATCCTGCTTTGATTTTAGTTTCTCCTCTTCTTAATGGCAAGAATTATTACTCCTGGTCTAGAGCTATGAAGCTAGGTCTTCAATCTAAGAACAAGTTGAAGTTCATAGATAGATCATTGACTAAACCAGCTTTGACGCATACAATGGAACTAGAGGAAGTGGTACTAGGTTATGCACTCACTGTGAAAGAACTAACCATACAGTGGATACATGCTTCTTGAAGCATGGTTATCCACCTGGTTATCACTACACTAGATCAGGAAAATCAACAAATGCAGCAAGCACGTTTCCTTTTGAGCTTGCACATGCACAGGACAATACACAATATTCAAATGAGAACAATTATGTTGATGAGAATGTGTCAAACAACCAAGGCTTTACTAGTGATCCAAGTAAAGTGCATTTTGGAATTACTTGAGAGGACTAAAGGAGACACAAGTAAATTCAATTCTGCATCTGCAATGGTTGATAAAACAGCAGTTGTCAACACTGCCTTGCCTTCATCATCAGGTAACAAATCTGAGAATTGGTTAGTAGATACTAGAGCTACTGATTATATAGCATATGACTTGAGTTCTTTTACTATTCAAACAACTATTTCACCTATCATGATCACATTACCTTATGGAGATAAAGTAACTACTTGCATATGCGGCACTATTGTTTTGTCAAACTCCTTGGTCTTATCCAATGTGTTATATGTCCCTATTTTCCATGTTAATCTAGTGTCAACACATAAGTTGATTCAATCTCTAAAGTGTCATCTAATATTTCATCTTAATTCTTGTGTCATTGTGTAGAACATTACCAACAATGTGATTGGTACAACTAGCTTAAAACAAGGCTTGTATGTTATCAATCATCTGCACAAGACATATTGTTTTGTCTCTGTCTCTTACTCATCTCCTAGTTCCACAAATGATTTTTCTCTATGGCATCTCAGGCTTGGTCATGCTCCTTCAGTTTTAATGAAGACTTCGTCTAATTCATTCTCTTTTATTCCTGTTTGTAATGAGACTCATGTACCTTGTGATGTTTGTCATACTTCTAGGCAAAAAAGACTACCCTTTTGTAATAGTCATACTCAATCTAATAAGAGTTTCCAATTGTTACATGTTGATATATGGGGTCCATACTCTACTGTTTCTGTATTTGGCCATAGCTATTTCTTAACTTTGGTTGATGATTATACAAGATTCACTTGGGTAATCTTAATGAAAAACAAAAGTGAAACAAGGCAAAACCTCATTAATTTTATCACATTTGTTGAAACACAATTCAATACTAAATTGCAATCCATTAGAAGTGACAATGGACCTGAGTTTTTGATGTATGATTTCTACTCCTCCAAAGGAATCTTGCATCAGAAGTCTTGTGTTGCCACACCACAACAAAATGGTGTGGTTGAAAGAAAACACCAGCACATACTCAATGTTGCTAGGGCTCTTTTCTTTCAATCTAGTTTGCCTTCCACTCTCTGGAATTTTGCAATTCAACATGCTGTTCATATCATAAATAGATTGCCTAGTCCCTTGTTGAAGAATTCCTCTCCATATCAATTACTTCATGGGTCCTTACCTCATTTAGAATCCCTCAAAGTCTTTGGTTGTTTGGCTTATGCTAGCACTCTTGTAGCAGGGAGAGGCAAATTTGACCCAAGGGCTAGGAAATGTGTTTTTCTAGGATTCAAAGATGGGACTAAAGGCTCTATACTCTATGATCTCACTTCTCATGATATATTCCTCTCTAGAGATGTCATCTTTTATGAGTCTTATTTTCCTTTTTCTTCTGGTTCTTATTGTCCACTTCATACATCAGCTGAGTCAAACACATCTCCTCCTATGGTTTCTGGTCCACAATTGTCTACACATTTCCCATATGAGTCAAACACTTCTTCTGAGTCATACACTACAACTTTGCCTAAGTCCACTACATCCACGGAATCCTCTCCCTCACCTGAGTCACATGCCACTCCTCTGAGACAATCTACTAGAATAAGAAGGCCACCATCTCATCTACAAGATTATCATTGTGGTCTTGCTCACACATCTAGCAATGCAACAGTTCAGAATTCTCAGGCTGCTTATCCTTTATGCTATGTTCTTGATTATTCTAAGTGTTGTCCTGCATACAAGAGGTTCTGTCTCACTATTTCTAGTACTTCAGACCCAACAACCTACTCCCAATCTGCTAAGTTGAGTCATTGGAGAAATGCCATGGACCTTGAGTTACAAACCTTGGATCAGAATCACACCTGGTCTCTTGTTGATCTCCCACCAGGGAAGATTCCTATAGGCTGCAAGTGGGTCTACAAGACCAAAGTTCATGCTGGTGGAACTCTTGAAAGGCATAAGGCTAGGTTGGTTGCCAAGGGCTATACACATATGGAAGGAGTTGACTTCTTTGACACATTTTCTCCTGTAGTGAAAATCACCACTGTTAGAACAGTTTTGGCATTGGCCTCTATCAAGTCATGGTTCTTGGAACAACTTGATGTTAACAATGCATTTCTCCATGGAGATTTTCATGAAGAAGTATATATGTCTCCTCCACCTGGTCTCTCACTTTTACATCCTCGAACACTCGATTTTTGTCCGGCCTATATTTATAAAGTATAGAAAATACAATAATTCCAAAACTCACAATTTTTTGTGTGAAAAGAACAACAATTTTAGCTGTCCCGGGACTAATTGAATGAGATGTTACCAACTACAGTTGTTGGCACCAATAGGATAACTCAATTACAAATTCAGCTCCTGCCGATGCTAAAGGTTATGGTTTTTTAACTGATATTGAGGATTTGCCTAAGAATGAAATAAGAAATGTTCAAGATAGAGCAACCTTACATAAATAATTATGGTAATGCAGTGATTAACATAGTTGAGTTATACTCTTTATGAACCAAGTTACATGAATGTGGGTTTGAACTTTGTTCTGTCTTTCCCCTTGGTTAAGACCATGGATTCTAATAGAGGACCTACTCTAATTACAATGGAAATAAGCAAGCATGTGGCAATAGCTTTAGAAATTTTCAAAACAAGACAACTACCTATATACTAGAGAAATTTGCTACACTTGTATTAGCCACAGTGATTTGGGCATATGTAAATGTCTTAACAATTTTCAGGTTGGAGATAAGCTAATGTTGCCACCATAGATTGATTGATTTTTGAAGTACGAGTAGTGCACATGCTACTTTCTATGAGGAAGTGGTGCTTCTGGAACAGTGAATGATGCTAGGGGCTCCAAAGTCCACCAAATACAAGCAGCCCAAAGAGGAAAGCCTTCTTCTGTATATTTGTGGTGCCACTCACATAAGGGCAAAGAGAGAGACTTTTGAGATTGAATATGCCATGTCCAAGAGCACAACTATCAACAAACGCCTCTGCAAAGAAAAGAGGGACAAGGTCGATTAATAAGTCTCAAACGACAATCTATGAATGCAACTATCTAAGAGCCGGTTGTGAACTTAAGAGGAATTGGAGCAACTTAAACATAAGCAGTTTTAGCAACAATTAAAATGGCTTATAGGTTTTCACAAAACTTTTCCATAAGCATATATAAAAGAAGGCAGATATACACAACAAAGGGGGGGCATCATACACATTGAAAGCAGAGAATATACATAGACATATCACAAAACCCTCCAAGAACTTTCTACTCTTCGCTATCTACCACATACAAATTCCTAATTCTTCAAAACAACAGTTCAAAAACCAGTTCACACATTCATACCAAAAAGCCATCCTACATACACTAAGGTACATTCAAATCCAGAAGCAACAATGCATATGTTTTGGAACCTTGAATTCAAGTTATCATCCAATACAATCAGCAACAAGCCTAAACAGAATTTCAAAAAATAAAAATATGGTTCATCACCCAACCTCTTGGTCTCGGCTGATTTCGAGCCATACCACCATAGCCATCGAGAGGAGATGACCAGTTCCGTGCTTCCGTCGCCGCCAGAGAAGAAAAATGGAGGAAGAAGTTAAGGATTCGATTCCCTTTGCATCGTGAATAAATAGAATGGGGAAGAAGAGAGTCTGGTTAGTTGGACCAATTTCAAAACAGCAACACCGCCTCTAAACGCCGCCGCTGCCACCGGAGATGGGGAAGATGAGAGAGAATGGAATTTAGGGATTGTTTCCCTTTGCTGAACGTGGAATGAGGAGGTTACTCCTCCATGCCTAATTGATTTCTTTCTTTCTTTCTTTTTTAAAGAAAAATATATTTATTTAATTCCTTTATCAAATAATATATATTTGTTTGTTTAATTCCTCCATTCCTAATTCCTTTATCTTTCTTTCTATGAACTAATAAACAAGGATCATACGATTTTTACACCAACATAAAGATTAGTGAAAATATATACTTTAAAAATAATAATTCAATGAAATCTTAAACGGAGTTTGATAGTCCGGTCGACGACCCGTGTCGTTTCTTCCTTTCCGCTTTAAAAGTGGAAAGTCGGTACACGACCAGTGTTGTCTCTTTACTATCAACTCTAGTTTTATAAAAAAGGTACTTCTAAAAATCTTTTTCTAAATTAAGTGTTCCTTAATGATTGTCAAAAAGAGTTTGATAGTTCGGTCGGTCGACGGCCCGTGTCATTTCTTCCTTTCCGCTTTAAAAGTGGAAAGTCAGTGCACGACTAGTGTTGTCTCTTTACTATTAATCCCTATTTCATAAAATTATAAAAATTATTTCTACGACGAGTGTTACAATTTCAATTCAACCAAATCGATATTTTCAAATCAACAAACCAATTTATTAATTTTCGGACCAGAACTACGTAGCTTTGATTTCCCTATTGCACCTAGGGATACGTAGGAGCAAGATGAACTCTTGTCAGGCACAACAATAAAAAATAAAACATTTTGCTTTTATAATGAATTTTTAATAAATAATTTTTAAGGGTATAAAAGTCCATGTTATTAGTGAGAGTACCGTTTTAATACGGGCGGACGAGGTGCTAATACCTTCCCCGATCCGTAATCGACTCCCCAGCTCAGAATCTCTGTTCAAAGACCAAATTGTCTTAATTGGGCCTATTTAGAGTTTTCTACGTTTTAACCGCAAAAAACGTAGTGCCGACTCCAAAACAATTGGAAGAGATAGAAATTGAGTTCGCCTCTCCCTAAGTCGCAGGACCGGTCTTCCAACCGAAAATCGGGTCGCGATGTAACACTCCAAATTTTAAGTCTTTAAAATTATAGTATCAGTCCTCGGATCCTCGCTTGAGCGAGAGGTACTCGCTTGAGCGAGAAAGGTTCACATGGGAGGGTGAAATCCTGGGCTATACTTAGCAATTTTGGGTAATGTAATCGATTACACAGTCCTGGTAATCGATTACATGATGATTAAAAGCATCAGATATGTACATCTGACACAATGTAATCGATTACACCATGTTGGTAATCGATTACATAAAGACGATGCATCTGTAATTTACACTGTGTAATCGATTACACAGTTCTGGTAATCGATTACATCGTATTAATATAATCGATTACACCATGTTGGTAATCGATTACATCGCGACGATGCCTCTGTAATTTACACAGTGTAATCGATTACACTACACTTGTAATCGATTACACTTATCGTTGTGTCTATAAAATAGAAACCCAAAACACATTTTAGGGTTAGAACTTCAAAGAGAAGAGAGAGATGAGAGCTTTTCAAGAGCAAGGAGCCTTAGAAATCATCTTAGAGCTTGAGAAGAGTAAACTTCTTGTTCCTAACTCTTCTTCTTCCTCTCTAACTTGTTTTGGGTATGTTGGAAGGTCTCTGACCAGGCCAGTGGTATGGGGCCAATGTCGGCTAAGAAAGTCAGGACCCTCCTTCGAAAAAGGGATCGGTATTCATTCAGTAAATGTCACAAGAGGGTATTTAAGAACTCGTTAGTATTTCGAGATGTTAAGATTTGAAAGAACTATTTATTTTGTCTTGGAAAGTGGACTTTCGTCTATGAATGATTGACTTTTATAATAAGTATACTGACAAGAAAAATGTTTAAGTCGGGGATGCTTGTTTTCTCTTATGAGTTGTTAAAGGTTAATTCCCTTTGTTGGCCTTAGTGTGTATGCGCACGCTAAGAGGTGAAACTCATATTTCGAAAATGAAATAGAGGTTGGATAAATTACCTAAAGGTCCTTGCGACTAATGTGTTTACATGGACGTTGACTAATCAGATGTATTATCATTTTGAGTTGACCTATGGTTGGTACCCCAAAATCGATTAAGTATGAAAAAGTTATTTTTGATTCTTGTGTATGAAGCTTCTGGTCTATGAATTTTTCTTTTTGTTAAAGATGAGTACACGCCGTAACAAATGTATATTGGTATTGAACGCCAAGCTATGTGCGGGGATGTTGAACCTCAAAAACTTATTTTGGATCGGGAGTGTCTCAGTGTACAGTTGGGGTAAATGGTAGAACCTTTACTATAGTGTTGATATGCGCGATGATGTCCCAGTTGGATTTAATCCTAGAAATGAACTAGCGATCAGCAAATTGTGTTATGTTTAACTGTGTGTACTTGTTGAGGTGAAGAATTAAGATCTAGTTGCATTGATATGTATATGGGTGCAAAAGGGTAAGACTTATAATGATAGCCGATAAAAGAGTCTAGTTAAGTTACTTACCCCGCCAATGTGATGAATGCAATGGAATAGACGTGAAACTTTTGGTCATGAATGATCGATTCTTTTGCGGTAGGACATTGGCAATGCATGAAATAGTGGTGGTGTACCTCAATTGTCTGCGTTGAATGTTGTACCGGCAAAAGTTGTTGTTGTTTCGTGGACGTCAGTAATTACGGTGTATGGGTGTGGTGTCACCATATGAGAGAATGAGTTTTAGGGTATGTTGAAATGAGTATGTGTTACTTTTGACATGATAATTTGATTTCTTCGATTAAATTGCCGTGAGTCGTGAGTTCAAACCGTTTTTGAAAATCAGTTTTGGGTGAAACATAGCATGTGGCTAAATAATGATTTAATGTCATGTTGGAGAATTCCGAAATTTTAGCAACTATATCGGAATGAGTATGAGGTTGTTAAAAGTTTAGTGATATTAGATGTCCATGTATTTCCGGATGTAATGCGAGTGGGTTGATAAGTTTATTTTGCTGACGGAATTGGAGTGACCAAACCGAACGCAAGTTGTAGGTCGAGTGTGGGTCGACTTGTGCTTGCCGATTGGTAACGGAATACCTAGTTTTGGTGTGAATAAATGGTTTTATAGTTTAAGTGGAGGCTAGAAATTGGTAATTTTTTTAGACGATAAGATTTGATGGTAGAAATATTTGGTGTAATTAGACAATTATTGGATAGTTGAATTGTGTACGATGGATGAGACACTAAGAGTCATATTGTGTAAGTACTTTGTTGATTGAGTGAAATAGAATTGTGCTAGATTCTTGAGTGGAGATGAAACTAGCTAGTGTATGATGGATGTTAAAAGACGCATTTCGATAGATATGAGATAAGGAGTTCCCTATTTGCTGAAGTTCGAGAATGATATCGAAATTCTTAACATATGTTAGGATTGATAGATGGATATGTGCTAGAGAATCTGTGGTTCTTGACGAATATAGGAAAAATCTTTAGTCTGAATTACGGTTAAGTTCTCATGACATTCAGGTTATTAAAGGCTGAGATCTTAATATTTGGACATTGATGAATTGGTTTGGTGATACCACGGTTTAGTGGTGTATGCCCTTAGTGACCGATTAAGTAAGCTTAATGGAATAGAGAATCGAATTGTGATTCTGGTTGAGTGTTCTTGTGCCCAAGGTCTAGGTGGTGATATTATTTTCCTAGGTGTGTTTAATTTTCGGGGACGAAAATTCTTATAAGAGGGGGAAGATTGTAACACCCCAAATTTCAAGTCTTTAAAATTATAGTATCAGTCCTCGGATCCTCGCTTGAGCGAGAGGTACTCGCTTGAGCGAGAAAGGTTCACCTGGGAGGGTGAAATCCTGGGCTATACTTGACAATTTTGGGTAATGTAATCGATTACACAGTCCTGGTAATCGATTACATGATGATTAAAAGCATCAGATATGTACATCTGACACAATGTAATCGATTACACCATGTTGGTAATCGATTACATAGCGACGATGCCTCTGTAATTTACACTGTGTAATCGATTACACACTTCTGGTAATCGATTACATCGTATTAATGTAATCGATTACACCATGTTGGTAATCGATTACATCGCGACGATGCCTCTGTAATTTACACAGTGTAATCGATTACACTATACATGTAATCGATTACACTTATCGCTGTGTCTATAAAATAGAAACCCAAAACACATTTTAGGGTTAGAACTTCGAAGAGAAGAGAGAGAGGAGAGCTTTTCAAGAGCAAGGAGCCTTAGGACTCATCTTATAGCTTGAGAAGAGGTAAACATCTTGTTCCTAACTCTTCTTCTTCATCTCTAACTTGTTTTGTGTATGTTGGATTTATTTTCAAAACATGAGAAACCATGGAAACTCATCCTTTAGAGTTATGGTTTGTTTTATGTTGTTTTTATCTTGCAAACTCTTGGTTTAGAGATAATATCTCAAGAATGGAAAGGGGTGTGGGTTGATTCATGAAAACCCCAAAAACCCTAAAAGTGAAAATATGGTAAAAGGAGAGAATGAGTAAAATGTAAGAGTTAGAAGATGAGTTTACCCCCAAATATTGAAATATGAGATGTTATGCATGTTTTAGATGGTTGAATATTGATGATGAATATTTTGTATGATTAAATGATGCAAAATAAGTTGTTTATGTAATATTTGGAATAAATGACTAACATTGTGTTATGTGGTGGGATGAAAAGAGATCCTAAGGTTAGAGGTGATGTCGGTAGAATTCGAGAAGTTGCCAAGAACCGAACTCCAATACTCACCAAGGTAAGGATAAGTCTTTAATTGTGCATTTGGAATAGAAAATGTGAGTATTTTCTGGTTATGCAATGATTGAGTTGTGAATTACGCATTTAGTAGAAACATATATGGGTGTGTTTATACTAAAGTAGGCGTAGATTTACGGAAGATAGAAAACGTGTGTATTTCTGATCATGCAATAATTATATTGTGAATCACGTGTTTAGTATAAACATATATGGGTGTGTTTATACTAAAGATGGCGTGGATTTACAGGAAATGATTGATAGTGAAATCAATGAAAAGGAAACGTATTTTTAGCCGACCATAAATGGTTAGCGACTTTGGCTCAAGTTATGTAGCAAAACTTTGGCTTAAGTTATGTAGCAATGCTTTGGCTCAAGCTATGTAGCAATACTTTGGCTCAAGTTATG